TGGCCAATAAGTTAAGAAAATGAAGACAATTAGAAACATTTTAACAGGTTATTGGAATACTGTATCGTAAATGAATGAATTATTTTTGAAGGATTATTTTTATTCACAGAAATATGTTCTGAGGTTACTAACTTAAAACTTAAGTTAAACTTAAACTCAATTTAAGTGTAAGCTGTTTCATTCTTTAGTAAAATTAATTCATTGTTTTCATTAATAGAATGATAATTAAACAATTTTAGTTTCTTTGTTTGTAATTAAGCAGAAAGCTACACACTGGGCTATCTGTGCTCTACCCACCACGGGTATCGAAACCCAGATTCTAGCGTTGTAAGTTCGCAGACATACCGCTGTGCCACTGGGGGGCCAGTTTTAGTTTTTTTTTGTAATTAAGCACAAAGCTACACAATGGGCTATCTGCGATCTGCTCACCACGGGTATCGAAATTGGGATTCTAGCGTGGTAAGTCCGCAGACATACCGCTATGCCACTGGGGGGCCAATTTTAGTTTGGTCTGTCTAGCCAATGAGCTAAATTATACAGGTAAGTCCTAGCAATCCTTCACTAAGTTCCAAACCTGATGACTCTGAACCTTCACGTCCCATAGAAAAATCGTCCACTCTCCTTAAACTAAACCTTCCCTTCATTACAGCTTCCCAATCGTATTCTAATCTTAACCCTACCAAAACTTTCAAACGACTTAGAAAACTGAACGAAAAGATACTGAGATAAATTAACCATACTGACGTTTTAGAACAGCATTTACTATAACTAAATCACTCAATCTGAATCCACCAGTTACCATAGGGGCCAATGACTAACTATTTTGTTTACAATGGAAGAAAATCCTCCATTCCACCTCAGTAGCACTTATGAAGCTCACACAAGACTTCTGCAAATCCACAGTAGCCGATCGTGATAAGAACATTTCCATTATAAATTCCGAGAACACAATTTCTACTATTGAACAAAATAAACTTGATGTTTTTATTAACAAAACAAAAAAGTCTTTCGAAAATCACGCCATAAACAACAAGGAACTCCCTTTGTTTTCTTGAAGAAGAATAGTCAACTATTCGAAAGCGCTTGAGTTTGGATCTTATTTTAAGTCGTAGAGGAGAAGATACGGGTTCGGTTTGAATTTAGCATGAAGCTACACGAGGGCTATCTAGCCAGTCCTAGTTGAGCAGAGAAAAACTAGAGGGAAAGCAGCAAGTTACGACCACCCACCGCCCATTCTTGGGCTACTATTTTACGAACGAACAATGGGATTGACTGTCACATCATAACGTCCTCACAGCTGAAAGAGTGAGCATGTTTGGTGTGATGGGGATTCGAACCCGCGACCCACAGATTGCGATTCAAGCGGGCTAACCACCTGCACATGCGAGGCCCGACAGACATTAGATGCAACATATATTGTTCATTCGAACAAAAATGGTTTGATTGTTTTTTAAAGGCATCCATGTTTTGTAATTCTATTGTATCGTGGTTTTTAATATTATAAATACAATGAACATCTATTTATTATATGTCTATATTATTTTGCCCAATCTTCTGTAGTTTAGTCCTTTTCATTCAGTTGTAAGAGTTTATCATATAGGAAGTATTAAATACTTTATAATTTATTAATGGAATCCAACAACTATGAGGTTAGAATAAACAGTGTTTAAGAACGTAATAATCTAACAAATTCAGTTTCAAAAAATTTATGAAAACGAAGATCTACGTTTTATCTAGCATTTAAAATAATATTATATTGTTTAACTTGCTGTATTACCCATCCCTTGGACGGATGTTATGTAAATTCATGATTAATGAAAGGTTATCTTAGGACATGAAAAGTTGCCTCCTTTACATGTAATTGTAAAAAAACTACCATAAAAACTGCAACACACAAAATGAGAAACACAAATTTGTATGTATGTTCCCATGGACCCAAAAAAACCTTCCTGCCAAATTTGGTGAAGATCCATTAATAGGGGTCGAAATAGTGGTAAATAACGCAAAAATGCCCACAAAAACCCGCAGAACACGAAATACAAAACTGGAAATTTGTATATATCTCCACACGTACCCAATGGACTAATTTGGGTGAAGATCCATCCACACCCTGCGAAGTAGTTACATGGGCATACAGCAAACAGCACTATTATATTTATCTAGATAACATACAACAAACAGTACTATAATATTTATATAGATTTCTAGAGATAATAACTAAAGAAAAAAGTAAGTGCATAATATATTGATTTGGTTGCTAGGTTTGTTGCTTACGTCATAAAAAAACATTAGTCCTAAATACATATTTAATTTCAGAGGACACGATTCTACTTTTATATCTTAGAATATGATCTCGTCAACTAAACTTGCTACTGGACTTGGACTGTGCCTGGTATTCTGGCACTGCGTAACGTGTTTTCCTAATGGCGATCGACCCTTGAATGACCTTTCTTCTAGAAGCATCCCTTTTCAGGACGAGTTCCAACGATTCCCCGACAAGCCTGAATTGTACCAGCTCCGTCGAAGAATGAAACAAGAAACTAAACGAACAGGTAACACCCATCAACAGGTGTTAATAACGTAAATAAATATATCGAATAATCATGAAATAATGTTTAGAGAATGTTGAAATGAACAACTAAAAACCATCATGTGATAATCAAGAATATATATTTTTTTTTTCCAAAGATAATTTTCACATAATCAAATACTTAGTATTTAGTAATACTTGGTTGAAATGTTAAAGTTTACAAGTGTTTTAGGGATCACACTCAAAATGTATACAATCACAAAATGTTTTTTTTTTTCTTTTTTCCAAATGAGATAGGCATTATTATTGTTACTAGCGTATAGCCCGTCAGAAATGACGGGGCAAGTACTACCACCCCCACCCCATAGTATACCCTAACCTCACATTTCATAG